ACCCTGACCTACTGGTTGTGGTTGGAAAGGTGCCTGGCTGAGCCTTGCCCCATGAGAAGAAGGAGGGCTTTGGTGTGAGGAAAATGAAAAGCATCTCCATGGTGCTGAGCTTTATGAAGCCCAACGAGACAACTTAATATCCTGGTCTTGTCCACATCCACAGCCCCAGCACTTAGGAAGGCCTGTGTGCCAAGCGCACAGCCTACAGCGTATCTTGCCCTTCTGAGTATCCAGAAGAGGTATTCAGGCCTCCAGGGAACCCTTTCTCCAGCAGGACCAGGTGGCCTCCTGGACTCTGCATTATTTTAAGACATTTCCATCACCTCCTGGTTGCTACCACTCGACACTGGGAGGTACTCAAGCCAAGCCTTGCAGGGTTTCTCCCCGGATTCACAGAACAGATGTTTCTTTTGTGTCTGAGCAGGCTGTGGTCTTATGATTCCGTTTTTCCAAGACGCAGATAATTGAGTTGCAATTCCAGCCCTTTCTGAGCCTCTCTGCTCAACTATTATTCTTGAAAAATATTGATCATTAGCAGGGATATTAAAATGAAACTGAGCTCAGGCAGAAATCTTTCTAATCTGCTCCTTTCCACTTTCAGAACCCTGTTCTCCCGAAGTCAAATGGCAATGGAAGACACGGGTTTGCACAATGGCTTTCTTCTTGTTTCCACTTAGTGGTTATGGAATATTTGTAATTTCCTTCATCCTTCCAGGGAACTGTACAATTTAGGTAACTTGGACCCTCTGCCAAGATGATCAGTAAGATGGAAAACACTCCATTTATGTTGCCATTGTGATGAAACGTGGAATCAGCTGGAGACCGGAGATGGTCTAATATTTGAGTTTATACAATCTTTGTGGAAGGTTTTCCTCTGAATCAGCTTTGGAAACTGGGTTCCGCTTGACTACTGAGGTTCGGTGGAGGCCTGTGATCAAGAACAGATGCTAGTTCTGTGGGGTGATGAGAGAAAGTGATCTGTCTAGTTTTGATCCCATTGCGCCATGACTTCTAAGAAGAGGCAGGCCCTGCTGTACATGATTCTAAGCCAAGCTGCCAAATGCTTAATAAATGCAGAGCCCCAGCCTTCCTGGGCCGATTCTACATCCGACATGTACAAGGGCCTCTGTAAAAATGGTCAGGGGCAGTTCCAGCCTTCCGGCTTATAGTCTGAAGTGGGGAAAACAAAAGTGCAGGTCCTTGCCTTGGCCAGTTTGGCTCAGTGGTTGAGTGTTGGCCTGCGGACCAGAGAGTTCCTGGGTTCGGTTCCCGCTAGGGGCACGTACCACAAAAAAAAGTGCAGGTCCTCTTCCGTCTTTGCAGCTGAACTTCCTCTTGGAGGGTGCACTCCATCACAGGCCAGGGGAAACCAGACGGCAAAACTGCCAAAACCTTCCTGAGGTTTCAGGAGGGGTGTGTGTGTGTGCGCGTGTGTGCGTGTGTGTGTGTGTGTGCACGCGTGTGTGTGTCCACCAGGGTGACTTCTCAAAAAGGTTCCTAGCAAAACTAATATGGGTGCTTGGGTCCACATCAAAGTTTGCTTCCTGCAGAAGCCCACTAAGTCCCTAGACTTACACAGTTTGCCCAAATAAGCCATAGGAATGATCAACACACCTATATTTGTGCTTGGGATGGGGGTGCACTCAGGGTGGTGGGTGAGTAGTCTGGAGGCTGGGACCAGGTGTTCTAGTCTGCGAGTAGAGCAAGTACACCTCGACCCTTCTTCATCCATGGAGTGCTCAAGCAGGGTTTGTATTGCTGAAGCAGCAGTGTCCTGGCCCTTCCCCAGCCGGTGATCACCCACCCTCACGATCACCTCCACCCAGGGGGCCCTCAACCTGGAGAGCCACGTCCTGCATCAGGTCCAGCTCATCCCTAAGGGACAAACCTATGTCTCATAATTCTCTACAGACAAGGTAGGGATTATTCTCTGCCTCTAAAAGCATCTATCAGGGCTCTGAAGACCAGATGTAATATATCACCTGGAACAGTCACCTCTACCTGTGCTGTCCTATTGTCTTTTTTAAAAAAATATTTTCCCTTTATTGATTTTAGAGAGAGGAAGAGAGAAACATTGATGAGAGAGAACATCGATTGGCCACCTCCTGCATGCCCCCCACTGGGGATCGGGCCCACAACCTGGACATGTGTCCTGACCGGGAATTGAACTGGGGATACTCTTGGTGCCTGGGTCGATACTCAACCACTGAGCCACACCAGTCGGGCCAGTTTCAGTGTTTTTAATGTAAGCCCCTGGCACTGTGCTTGGTCTGTACTGATTAAATAAATACCTGTAATGAAGAAAATCACTGCACCACCTTAAATTTCCTTATTGGCTCCCACAGATCTAGACCCTGCACTGCAGCTCTCTTCCAGCTCATTGCTTTTTAAGCTTCACCAGGAGGAATGGACTTTAGTCAATGCATGGTCCTTGCTAGGTAACAGGATAAACTAGAGAATGGATGGGGGGGTGAAGGAGAGTGCCCTAAATTAGCAATCAGGATCAATGTATTTTGTGAAATACCCCAAACTGTAGTCCTGATCACCAGCCTGGCCCTTGGAAATGGAACCTGATACATGTTCCTGTTGGACTTTGCACTAAGACATGAACGTGGAGCTCTGGTCTACAGGTTGAACTGTGACCTGCATGCTCATTTTCATTGTTCTACATTGTTGCAGGCTTGCAGCCAACTTTTAACTTCTTGTGGGCAATGCCATTATTACTATCTAAGTAGGTTGCAAAGCTCCTTGTCAGACTGCTGACTTCTTGGTCTCCAGTGGTTTCTACTGACAGTTTATCCATGTGAATTGTGAAGATAGCAAAGTCTTGACAGGACAAGCATCAAGGTGTGTAATGATAATCCCATTGAGGGTAAAATACAGAAGCGGGCACGATAGCTTCTCATTCTGTTCACCTTATTCCAGACACATTTATATAATCTACTTACTCTCCGTGAAGTAGCTTTTTTTTTTTTTAAATTAAAAAAAAATTTATTTTTAGAGAAAGGGGGAGGGAGAGAGATAGAAACATCAATGAGAGAGAACATGGATTGGCTGTCTCCTGCATGCCCCCCAGTGGAGATTTGGCCCACAACCTGGGCATGTGCCCTGACTGGGAATTGAACCGGTGACCTCTTGGTGCATGGGTCAATGCTCAACCACTGAACCACACCGGCTGGGCCATGAAGTAGCTTTTAAATTAAGTAAGCATGTTTGAAATTTAGGATGAACAGATGGATCATTTAGGTAGTACACATGAAAGGCCACTTTTAAGTTCTTAGGTTAAAAAGCAACTGCTAAAGTTTTCCAAATGTTCCTTGGAATTTATCCTCTATTATGCTCTCCCTCAGTCACTGTAGGAGGAAGTTTGAAGGTGGCATTTGATATCTTATGAAGACTCCAGAATCTAAACGAAATATACAAAGACATTTCATCAGCTTATGACATACCAGGGGATACAGGAATATTCAGGGCTCCACACTACTATATAATGCTGCATTTCTTGATTTTATTTGAAACAATGCATATTTTTTAGCATTTTATGGTAGGATTTTACATGTGTCATTTACACAAATTACAAGGTTCTGCTTCAAGTCTTTAAAAAAATTTTAAAAATTCAGCCCATGTGCAGCACAATAATATGCAAAACTACTTTACATTATACACACTTTTTATCAAAGGAGATACAAAATTCTGGCTTGTAGTTTTAGACAAATACAAGAAGCTTCAAACTAGACACAAAGGGTTAATTAACATTAATTCTCAAATATAAGTCTGCACTTTGTGTTGTAGTTCTCTGAGATGTAAATACCAAATTCCTAAGGGATTTTACTTTTTTCCTTTTTCAAAGGAAAACTGACCAATTTCCCTTACACAAGTCCCTCCCCACCAGCTCAATCTTTCCATCACCCTACTCTCGCTTCCCTTAGTGTCAGACACTTGCATATTACAAAACCAGGGGCGGGCCACTGACATCGTGTGTGGACCAGATCCTTTTAGTGAACTCCTCTCCTATAAAAACCTAAGCAGCCATAGCTGATGCCATTGGTTCTGCTTCATTATGTTAAATATGACAACACTAGGTAATCCAGTCAGCTGTGATGCTGAGTAATTAAACAATAGGAGCTGAGAGAAAGAAGGTCCCTACCAGTGTGCTTTTCATTGGTGACAAATTCATGGCATTAAGAATCAAGTTGTCCGATGCTAAGAGAACTTTAAGATCTGTCTAAACAGAATATGCCCACCAATTGCTTGAGAGACTTCTCTGATGCTTATGCATAGATATTTTTTCAGCATGTTGGAGGCAATATTTTATACTTTACTTCTAAAGGGTTATAAAAAGAGGCAATAAGGAAGAGTAGGGCCTTTTCTGCCCTCTTAAGATATTTTTCTATCACTGGCATCCATTGTTCCCTAACCATCATCTGATACCCAAATGTGTGTATATATATAATATATATGCATATTTAAAAGAATTACCCATCTTTCACTCAATCAATATACAGCCAACTCTTAATTATCTATGAGAATTTAAATGACATTTAATACCAGTAAATTTCACATTTAACATAATCATCCTTTTGGACACAGCTCATGTTCAGTTTGTTTTACATCCCATGTAACTACAGCCTTGAGACCCAGTGACATGCAGAACTGTTTGCGTCCTCTAACCCACGGTGGGGATGTGCGAGGAAACTGAGTGAACACATTCAGTGAGGACTCTGGGGAGAGCCTACCGTGGAGAAGAGGGGCAGGCTCTACCTCTGGAGTATGAAAAAGGACACATTTTTGGTTTCTCTTTACTTGCCTCTTATAATATGCCTTCATTAATTTTATTTTTAAGTTTACGATTACTGCAAAATTCAAAACCTGAGGCATAGTCACTATTTTATATAGATAATAAAGAGTTGACTGTAATCATGTTTTTTAATGACTTTAGCCCTTTCACATAAAAAATTTCACAAGAAAACATGATAAAAAGATTAAAAAAGACTACCATATGACATCTAGAAGCATTTATTTTATGCAAAAAACTTAAATATGATTATGTGTACACAGAAGTGCACACATTACCTATGCTGAACAATGCTGAGAAACAATATATTGATGCAACAGTTATTTTCTAAAATAAAAATTAAAAACTGAGCCCAGACTGTCAGACAAAAGCAGAACACTTATTTCCCAATAGCACAATTCTGAAAATTGATAGCAATCCTAAACACCTCCAACTTGCCTTACAAAGCTGCCCAAGTCCAACTGTTTTAAAAAACTGACTTTTTTTACATGAATAAAAATCTGGTGACAAACATTATAAAACCAAATTCCGGACAATGTTTACTCCTTTAAAATTCCAAATATTCTAACATAATCACAGGAGTAAAAACCATTTTAAAATGATATGCTTTATGAAACAACAATATGTACATTTATTGCAAATTATATTAAACTAAAATGGAGGGGAAATCAAAAAATGAAGTGATAGGAAATCAATAATAATTTTAATTATTTTCTCACTCTGATAAAAATCAGAAAGCAACATTTATAAAATTGCCACCACATCACTTTTCCTAGCAGGGAACTGAAATCTGTACATCTCATTTTTGCAGAAAAGTAAGCAGGCAGAAAGAATTATACATAAAAGTTTCCAAAAGGAAAAAAACAAACATTTCATCTGATCTCTTTTCTTCTAAAAAATTAATTCAGTAGACTTCTACTTTTTTCTTGTGTAACACGGGAATTCCTGGCTCTAAAATTGATGAATTTTCAGTGTCAGTGTAAGGACATCCTGTTACTTTAACATAAAAATGCAGCATGAAAATTAATGTTGTATTTATGCCTTTAAACTCCAGATATGCAGGAACTGGAACCAAGTGTTAAGCAATTTGCTTAATTATTGACTTTTCATAGGAAAAGTCCGGGGGGAGGTTAGAATAGAGTTGCTTTAGCCTCTCTCTCAGGAGCTCTGCTGCACATGGCCGTCAGAGGACTGCGGTCGTGTGAAAGGAAGTAACAGTTCCTTTCGGTTTTCAAGGCAGAGAGTGTGTGTTCTGAAGTTAACTTCATTTTCTGTTCAGGGACATTTTGAATCCAAATTTTTGCAGAAGCTGGAGCTGCTTCTCTTTGGCCTTCATTTTCTCCCTTTGTAAATGAGTCTTCTTTTTACCTTGGGGGTAGGAGTAGAAGAAAGCAAAGTCAGAAAATATATAAACAGGAAAACAAACTGGAATTACTTTATTTCTATGGATATAAAGCTAAAATTTGAAAAAAAAATTTTTCATTTTTCACCTGAGACTACTTGGTTTAAGGAATCTTTCCCTAAAACTATATATATAAAAAAAAGTCAATGAAGTGTTTCAACCATTAAGTGCTGCGACCCAATGACCGATATGCTTACAACAATAAAATAAAAGCTGTTATTTGAAATAAAACTGCCATTTTTTATTAATACTTTCAAAATGGTATTATTATGGAAGAATAATTACTGGGTACTATGGCAAAATAAGTTATAAGCAGCAAAATAAGTTTAGACTCCTGAACTGCATAAACAAATACATTTTGGTATACTACAAAACAAGGAGTGCAATTTAGCTTAATTTTGTTAAGAAGTTAGAGTCCCCATGCTTTGGAAGCACGAGGACCGGATATGGTCTTTTTCTCTTCTCCCCTCGCCTACTACTCCTTTCTGGGAGGAGGAAGAACCCATTTAATAGGTGAGGGAGTAAAGGGAGGAACAGAACACACAGGCCTTGGCTTCATCTACACTTGTTCTCTTTTGCTCCCAGAAGGTTATTCTGGTCTGCTGCGGTTACTCAACTTAAGGGCAAGGCATCAGCAGCACCTATGTTATTCTACATATAAAATCAACCATATCAATATTAAGACTGTATCTCCTCAACAACTTCAAATTTGGGAGAGAAAAGGAAGGGAGTTGTTAACTTATATCCCCAAACCTCAACACTACATGTACATTTAATAAAAAATAACTATGCTTTAAAAAAAGGGCTAGGTGATTAGGATTCTTAGAGATTATGAAATTAACTTGTTATAATATAGAAAACACGTTTAGTAAGATGGCATCGCAGGATCATCGCCAAGTGCCTGCTGCGCTCGGGCAAGCTTTCCTTCACCAGCTCCGAGTCCTCGGCCTCCGGCTGCACTCCCTGACTTGACTCTATGTCCCAAAGTGAACTGCCAACACTTCCCAGCACTTGGCTTCTGAAAAGTCGTATATTATTTTGATAAAAATTCACTTGTTACTAAAATAGTAAAACTAGTTTTAATACATGAGGATTAAACTTAGGGGTTACTTTAATTTTAAGATATGAACCAATGCGAAAACTTTCTCAATATACAAATAAGCACAGGAGATCAGGACATTCTTAAAATAATAGAAATTCCAAGATTCTTGAATGTTCCCACACTAAGCCTGCTATCCTATAGATACTTCCTTTTGAATTTATTTTCCCCACAAGTTCCAAGTTTAAGAACTGTTTCTCCACTGGCGTGGAAGAATTTGGCCTTCAATGTAAGCAAAACATCATCAAGAATCAGCAGACCTATAAAAACACATTTTTATTTTTATTTTTTATTTTTTTTATCCTCACCCGAGGATATTTTTCCATTTTTTGTACAGATAGAGTGGGAGGGAGAGAGCGGAAGAGAGAGAGAGAGGGAAACATCGATGTGAAAGGGACACATCGAGTGGCTGCCACCCGCACGACCAACCAGGGCCGGGGACAAATGGCAACCGAAGTACGTGCTCTTAGCGGGAACCGAACCTGGGTCTCTCTGGACCGCAGGCCAACGCTCTAACCGCTGAGCCAAACTGTCCAGGGCTAAAAACACATTTTTAATGCAGATTGTTTAGAATTGTTGCCCTGGCCGGTTTGGCTCAGCGGTTAGAGCATTGGCCTGCCATCCGGAGAATTGTTTACCATTTGGATAATAGCTCAAAAACATAAAGAAAAAACAAGTTGCCCTGGCCAGCTTGGCTTAGTGGTAAGAGAGCTGGCCCATGGACTAATGAGTCGTGGGTTTGATTCAGGTCAAGGGCATGTACTTCGGTTGCCATTCATCCCTGGCCCTGGTCTGGGTCGTGTGGGAGGCAACCAGTTGATGTGTCCCTCTCACACTGATGTTTCTCTTTCTCTCCCTCCCTCCTACTCTATCTGAAGATAAATAAAAAATATACTTGGGTGAGGATTAAAAAAGTAACAACAAATAAAACAGTGACTTAAACAACTTAAATGATAATCAATCTTTCATCCCAAACTTAGAAAGCCAATATTAATTATCCAGTTTTTCAGATACTGTTTCCTGACCGTACTATACAAATGGCTGACTTTTATTTTTATTTATTTTTTATTTGAGAGAGAGAGAGAGAGAGAGAGACAGAGAGAAATATCCATGTGAGAGAGACACACCCACTGGTTGCCTCCCAACTGGCCAGGGCCAGGGACGAACCACACTGAGGTATGTGCCCTTGACTGGAATTGAACCCACGACTCATTGGTCCATGGGCTGATGCTCTAACTGCTGAGCAAAATTGGCCAGGGCTTTATTTTTATTAAAAAAATTTTTTTTTAATGTTTTTATTGATTTTTTAGAGAGAGAGAGAGAAACATCAATGTGAGAGGCTGCCTCCTGCATGGCCCCTACTGGGGATCGAGCCTGCAACCTGGGCATGTGCCCTGACCAGGAATCAAACTAGGCCTCTTAGTCCATGGGACTATGCTCAAGCCACTGAGCAACATTTGCTGGGCTGGCTGATTTTTATAAATGTACAGAGTGATTTAAAAGAATTTTCTCACAAGAAGTAATACCAAATGCAGCCCATAATATAAACATTTATTGGAACATATGAACACACACACACACACACACACACACACACACACACACACAGTAAATAGCTAAGGGAATACATTTACTACAAATATCCAAAGGGATCTAAAAATTCTAATTAAGCTGACAAGTTAAAATGCTTGGCACTGCCCTGGCCGGTTTGGCTCAGCGGTTAGAGCATTGGCCCGTGGACCAGAGAGTCCCGGGTTCAGTTCACTAAGGGCATGTACTTCAGTTGCAGTTTGTCCCTGCCCTGGTTGGGGTTGTGTGGGTGGCAACTAGTCAATGTGTCTCTCTCATGTCACTATTTCTCTCTCTCCCTCTCCTCCCCTCTCTCTCCCTCCTGCTGTATCTGAAGATAAACGCAAAAATGTCCTTGGGTGAGGATAAAAAACAACAAAAAAATAAAATAAAACGCTCCGTATCAATTCCTAGATTACAAAGTAAAGTCTATGTCAGTAAATTTTTGTACATACTATTATTGTTTTGGTGGAATCAAATATCCATCCTTGAATCAGTAAATAAATTATGTAAGTAGGAATCATACTGAAAGTAATTATTACTTACCTAATGTCAGTAAGAGGAATTCTAGAGTGTTTAGCACTTGCCATGTGAATATAAGTGATGGTTGTGGTGTTAAAATGGCTTTAGACTTGAGGCTACCATTTATCAAGAGTTCTACTTAATAGGGCTGAAGGATAAAATGAAGTAACAAAGCATCTAGACTGGAGTTGGCATATACTAGGGCCTCAAAAATGGTTTTCATTATTTAATAATATATTTTAAGAATCATGTAATATGATAAGATAAACACCAAGTAACAAAACTGGATGAGTTTCCAGAGGTTGGTATTAGCGTAAGGTTAGAACAGCTGCTTTGAGGGGATTCTGTTCAGACTGACAAAGGAGTACATGGAGTAAAGATCAGGGTGTCGTCAGGAGAGGCTCTTTGCAGATGTTACTGTCTGTCCCCACAAGGCAAGGCCCCTACGCTTTGTGTTCTTAGGGCAGTAAGTGAGCTGATTCTATCACTCTGGGTTCATCCTTAGCTCACAAATGTAGTATCTGATGGCTCTCAGGACTGGCAATTCTTATTTCTTCTTTTACTGATTAGCTGGTTGAAATTGTTTTTTTTTTATCCTCACCTGAGGACATTTTTCGATTTTGTTCAGATAGAGTGGGAGGGAGGGGGACAGAGAGAGAGAGAGAGAGAGAGAGAGAGAGAGAGAGAGAGTGATGTGAAAGAGACACATTGAGTGGTTGCCACCCACACGACCCAACCAGGGCCAGGGACAAACTACAACCGAGGCACATGCCCTTAGCGGGAACCGAACCTGGGTCTCTCCAGACCGCAGGCCAATGCTCTAACCGCTGAGCCAAACTGGCCAGGGCAGCTGGTTGAAATTGTAATAACCTTACAAGGATGATTCAGGCCCTGGCCATGTTTGAGCATTGTCCTGAGACTCCAAGGTTGCGGGTTCAACCCCTGGTCAGGGCACATACAAGAATCAACCAATGAATGCATAAATACGTGGAATAGCAAATTGATCTCTCTTTTTTCCTCCTGCTTCCTCTCTCTCTCCCTCCCTTTAAAATCAATAAATTATTAAAAACAAAAGATAATGATTCAAAGTGTTATATTAATTCTGTATTCAGATCTGTCTGATCATGTAGCTTTAACCTGTATCGGATCCTCACCAGGTCTCAGGAAGTACAGGTGGGATGTCAGATCAATCACAGGTAATATTGCAGTTAATGAGAGGTATGTTTAGAGTTTTGTAGGAAGAGCCCTGGCCGGTTTGGATCAGCAGTTAGAGCGTGGGCCCACAGACCAATGAGTTGCGGGCTTGATTCTAGTCAGGGGCATGTACTCCAGTTGCAGTTCATCCCAGGCCCTGGTTGGGTTGTGCGGGAAGGCAACCGGTCGATGTGGCTCTATCACATCGATGTTTCTCTCTCTCTCTCTATCTGATGATAAATATATCCTCGGGTGAAGAATACAAAAAAAAAAAAAAGAATTTTGTAGGAAGGTGGGAACTACAGTTCCACGTGAAACAGAAATAAAGCTGGCATCTTTAGGATTCTGACCATTCAACATTTTTTCAAGTTGAAAGACAGTTAAAACACCACCAAGGTCACCAAAAAGGAACTTCTATTTTAGTGTGTCTGTCTTTTCCATCTTTTGGTGGGTACAGCACATTAAAACTTTTTACACATTAAAAGGAAAAACAAATAATAGAGTTCTAAATGTTCATAGTTTGAAAATGTTTCAAAATGCTGCCTGAGTTTGAGAAACCTAACTGTAGCTAGCTACCACTGTTAGTGGTACACTGAGGTGTTGGGATTCAAAGCCTTGCTCTGGGGAGTATTGGCAGATGACCCAAGAAAATAATCTTCTCAGGTTTAATCTCCTTATCTCTAACGTAGGGTTGTTCCTGCTTCATAATGATTGTTGGCAAGGTCAAAAAATAGTCAACAAATTTTCCTTGTTATCACTATTATTTCTGCGAATATGTACCCACCACACCATGCCAATACCTCCCACACACCCGACCTAACTTTCACCACAGTCCGATCATGTTCTTAGCATCTGGTGCTTTGTTCATGTCAAGTTTGCAACTTCCTGGGACATCTGCTCTCTCTCGGTGTTTTCCTCTCTGACACTAACATGCAGGGGCTTTTGTTTATATACTCTGAGAGAGGTTCAAAAGATGACTATAGGTGGTCTGTTTGGTTTAACCTGTGATTATTTTATTTTTTTCTTTATTGATTTTAGAGAGAGAGGAAGGGAGAGTGAGAGAGACAGAAACACTGATGAGAAAGAACACTGATCGGCTGCCTCCTGCATGCCCCCACTGGGGATTTGGCCCACAACCTGGACATGTGTCCTGACCAGGAATTGAACCGGAGACCTCTTGGTGTGTGGGTCGATGCTCAACCACTGAGCCACACTGGCTGGGCTACCTGTGATTATTTTAAATAAACTAGCTTTTGCCCTGGCCAGTTTGGCTCAGCGGTTAGAGCGTCAGCCTGTGGTCCAGAGAGACCCGGGTTTGGTTCTACGTGCTAAGGGCACGTACCTCAGTTGCAGTTTATCCCCAGCCCTGGTTGGGGTCGTGCGGAAGGCAGCCACTTGATGTGTCCCTTTCACGTTGATGTTTCTCTCTTCCTCTCATTTCCTTTCTCTAATATCAATAAAGGAAAAAAAATTTAAAATAATTCTTATATTTTTACTGTATCAATCAGCAGACCTAAAGTGAACGTTTTCGGTTCTCTTTTGGAGTTGACAAGCTGGAGAAGTATGTTTTTTGAGGGCAAGAACTTAACATTTTGAATAATTTTGTATCGCCAATACCCAGCGCAATGCCTGACACTCTAAAAACTAAAGTGGTTTTCCTTTCTTAAAATTTTAAATACTGATTGATTGATTTGAGAGAGAGGAAGGGAGAAAGATGGATTTGTTGTTCCACCCGCCTATGCATTCATTAAGTGCCCTGACTGGGGATCGAACCTGCAACCTTGGCATATTGGGTCAATGCTCTAATCAACTGAGCTACTCGGTTAGGGCCTAAAGTGTTCTTTAAGAGAGTGAATGAAAAGTACAGGAGCAATAGTGATGTACCTATTAGCCATTTAATTCTATGTAAGAGGATATTATGAGCAACACAGAGTTTCTGAAGTTAGTTTTGCTGAACAGTTCACCAGGATTCCAAGCCTAAGTGATGCTAGAATTTAAGGGGAGGTTGTACATTAGGTTCAGAAGAGTGGGGAAGCTTAGGAGAAAGCTTCAGAAAGCACTTCTATGTTGGTAATCATAACTTAGTCAACAATTTAATCAAAAATTTTGGAAATACATGTGCCAAATGTTGGATCTATTCCAATGAATTAACATAATTTAATGTTATCACGAACATCTTTATTTAACCATCTAACTTAACTGAGATTATGAAACCATCACAGAATTCTGTATTTTGTTTTTAAAATTTTTTTTCTTTATTGATTTTAGAGAGAGAGAAAGGGAAAAGGAGAGAGATAGAAACATCAATGAGAGAGAACATCAACTGGCTGCCTCCTACATGCCCCCACTGGTGATTTGACCCACAACCTGGGCATGTGCCCTGACTGGCAATCGAACCAGCAACCCCTTGGTGCATGGGTTGATGCTCAACCACTGAGCCACACCAGCTGGGCTGTATTTTGAATAACACAATACTCACTGATATACTAACTGGTATACTTAAGACTTCTTTTTTTTTTCCTGCTTGATTTGGAGTGGAATTCTTTTTTGTTTTAAATATGTTTTTATTGATTTTTTTCTTTTTAGAGAGAAAGGGACAGAAACATCAATGTGAAAGAGAAACATCGATCATCTGTCTCCTGCATGCCCCCTACTGGGATCGAGCCCATAACCTGTGCATGTGCCTGACTGGGAATCAAACCAGGACCTCTCAGTCCATGGGACGACACTCAATCCACTGAGCCACACTGGCTGGGCTAGCCTTAAGATTTCTAATGTGCTTTTTCATTTGGACATTTTAAGGATTTTAAAAAGGTCCAATGCCACTTTTAATTAAAACCAGTCTCTGACATGTAATGTTTGTTTAATGATGTTTGGGCATATGGTGTAGCAAAAAACAGAACAATGGGTTTTATAATACCCTAATTCAATTCAGAGACAAGGCTGGCTTACTATTGAAGTTTGGACACCTGAATTTTTGGTTAGGTGGCAAATGGACAGCTAAGGAAAGATAAGGTTCAGATGGCTCTGTATGATGACCAGTATTATTATTATTTTTTTATCCTTACTCGAGGACACTTTTCCATTTTTTGTTCAGATAGAGTGGGAAGGAAAGGAAGAGAGAGAGAGAAACATTGACGTGAAAGGGACACATGGAGTGGTTGCCACACACACGACCCAACCAGAGCCAGGGACAAACTGCAACCGAGGCACGTGACCTTAGTGGGAACCAAACCCGGGTCTCTCTGGACCGCAGGCCGACACTCTAACCGCCAAGCCAAACCAGCCAGGCCAACAAATACTATTTTATATAGGTGAGGAATGGCTACAATTCTAGAAACCCCATAGAGAATCTGGAAATCTTCAAGGAAACTGTTCAACTTTTGTGTACCTGCAAAGTGTATTAAGGGGTAAAGCAACTAAAATTCAGAACAATCGTTTATAATAATTTTCTGAGCATTTATTGTATGCAAGGCACCTTACTGACCCATTTAATTCTTAGAACATCCTTTGAGGAAGGTGTTGTCATACTGTATCACTGAAGAATAAAAGGAGTCTGAGGTTAATTATGTTGTTGCAGGTCAAAGGTCCAGGTTTGAGGAGAAAATAAATAAATTTGCTCCCAATATTAGCTTTCATTACTACACTTATTAGTCTGTAAATCTAGAAGTTAGTAGGAGAAACACTATTATTTAGATCAGGTTTGGGCTTGGATCTGCTGCCATGAGATACAGTAAAAGGTGGCCAGAGACACCTAAAGTATTGCCCCGAACTTCACAAATGATTATTTTTATAATGTACTTATAAACAGAGATGCCTCAGAAACACTGTACTTCATTAAGCAGGATGGTGGGGGTAGCCTCACATGATAAAAGCTGGCTCTTTCCTAAAAGAAACTCAGATGCTTGCAACCTAGTTTAGGAGGAGATGAGTCAGGTATAGGTATACGAGGGAAAGGAGAGGAGTAGGGCTGGATTCAGATTATAGGACAAATAAGGAAGGAGCCAACTTCTAGATCTCCAGCTGGGTCTCCACTGTTACACTGTGGAAAATCTGAAATCCCAGCCCATGAATGATCAAAGATGAGCAGCTTTTGAGGTTCTATCATTTGAGTAGTCGGGGGAGAGGCAAGATGTTGATTTATATTAAAATTAACTCTAACGAGAAGAATGAAAGAGTAGGAATATACCTTGTTCATGTGTCAAGACCACTACTTCCTCCATTCTGGGACTTCTATATCTAAAAGGCAGTCATTGCCCGGCTGTGTGGCTCAGTGGTTGAGCGTCCACCCATGCACCAAGAGGTCCCCAGTTTGATTCCTGATCAGGGCACAGCCCAGGTTGTGGGCCAAGTCCCCAGTGGGGAGCATGCAGGAGGCGGCCAATCGATATTCTTGCTCACTGATGTTTCTATCTCTCTCTCCCTCTTGCTTCCTCTCTCTCTAAAAATCAATAAAAAGGAAAAAAAGGCAGCCATTTATTTTAAGTAAATCCTGTGCAAGTATGTGAAGGACACCAAGCAAAAGATGATACTGTCCTTGCTAATATACAGAAATATCAAAATACCATATACTAATTAAAAATTAACCAGAAAGAAAAAGGAGACCCCTCTTCAAATTGCTGTCCTGGAGATTATGAATTCTAAACAAATGCCATCATAACCTACTTAGGAAAACCAAGGGCCATTTTCATTCCTAAATACCTAAGTGTTTTGGGGTGAACGACACACACTAAGTATAAAACAAAATATCCAAATTATAAGTTCAGAAGGAATAATGTATATTACCTTTGTAAGTCAATTTGTCTCTCTGCTGGGGCTGCCTTTTTGGCTCCATCCTGCAGTTTGGGTGCTTTGGCATTCCCTGCTTCCAGACCCCCGGGGCTTTCCTGACTGCCCGCGGCTCTCTTCCGTCCTTTGCTAAGAGGTTTACTTATATCATCATTTTTGGTTGCATTGCCCTGAGATTCAGACTTTGGTCGACGTCCTCTCCTGGGCTTCGAAGGGGCAGGTGGTCCCGATTCATCTACTTCCTCATCTGTTTTTTGTTGGATATTCTCTGCACCAGCTGCTGTTACTGTTCTTTTCTTCCCTCGGTCACTGCTGATGTTGCCCTGGGTAGCTTGATCAGAATTAATCTCCTAAAAGAGCACAAAACAATTCTATAAGTACAAATTCTTTAAATATCATAATCTTACCAGAAAGAGGTATTCTGAATGTATTTTATTTATCTTTTTATTTTTTATCCTCACTTGAGGATGTTTTTGAATTTATCTTCAGATAGAGTGGGAGGGAGACATGGGGGAAAAGAGAGAAACGTCAATGTGAGAGGGACACATCGAGTGGCTGCCTCTTGCACGACCCCAACCGGGGCCGGGGACAAACTGCAACCGAGGTATGTGCCCTTAGTGGGAACTGAACCTGGGACGCTTTGGTCCATGGGCCGATGCTCTAACCGCTGAGCCAAACTGACCAGGGTGTATTTTATTTTTATATATTTTTTAAATTGATTTGAGAGAGAGGGGAAGGCAGAGGGAGAGAGAAATATTCATGTGAAAGTATGACATCAATCGGTGCCTCCTATACACACCCTATTGGGGATCGAGTCCACAACTGGGACATGTGCCCTGATTGGGAATCGAAGAAGCAACCTTTTCGTGCACAGGATGATGCCCAGCCAACTGAGCCACACCAGCCAGGGCTTGAACGTATTTTAAAGAAGCTGGTATTCCAGGGCTTCTCATTAACTACTTGCAGCCCATGAGGAATGTAAACTCCTTGGGGGTAGACATTTGAGCATGGTGTCTACCATGGTGCTTGACACATATAATGTACTCAATAAATGCTTATTTAAAAAGCACAGGTGGTACCCAGCTGGTGTGACTCAGTGACCCATGAATCAAGAGGTCGCCAGTTTGATTCCCGGTCAGGGCACATCCCCACGTTGTGGGCCGGATCCCCAGTGGGAGGCAAGCAAGAGGTGGTCGATCGATGTTTTCTATCATCGATGTTTCTATCTCTCCCTCTCCCTTCTTCTCTCTCTAAAATAAAAAATAATAATAATAAATAAATAAAAAGCACAGGTGGTATGCATAAAAACAGAGAAAATCTCAATTTTGTTATCACACCCATTCTAAATGAAAAGGTCCTTCTTATTGACAACATGCTCTAAATGTATCACTTTTTAAAAGATAGGAGCATATTTTCATAGTTCAATATGCTATTTTTTCTCTACAATGCATCTAACTATAATAATCTTTGTAGTTTTGTGACAGGAAGTTCTTTAATTTCTCATTCCATTCAAACTTATGTATGTTCTTACTGCATTAATTTTACTTTTTCTGAACATTTTCTTTTTTTTCCTTCTAGTTTAGCATATATATTACACATTATCTAGAATGCTTAAAATAATAAATCCCATTTTAATATAACAGACATATATTCTTTAGGAGGAACAATAGTTTTCAGAATGAAAGTGACTTTTATATGAATGATATTTAGGAATCAATTAAAATTTTAATTGATATAAGGGAAAACAAGGAACACTATAATCATTAAAAAAATTAGACTATATCTTTTCAATCAATAAGTTAATCTTCATTTCTCTCAGAAAATCTTTTCAGAATGACTAGGGAAGAAAATATCACAGAGGCTTCAGGTCAATATGGAAGAGTAAACGCGCTCTCACCTCCTCCCACAATCATGTCAAAAACACAACTAAACTATAGAACCACCATCTTCAGAACTGCCTGAAATCTGGCTGAATGGAAGTCCTACAACTAGGAATTAAAGAAGAAGCTGCATGTATGCATATCCAATGGACACAAACAACAATGCTTGCAGGGTGGGGGTAGGGGGTGGGATAGGGAGGAAGGTGTCTGGGGGGAAAAAGGAGAAACATCTGTAACAAAAATTAATTAATTAAAGAAAAAAAAAAAAAAAGAGAGAAGCAGCTACATCAGACAGGTAGGAGGGGCAGAGACAGGGAACTGGCTGGTCACATACCCTTGTGTGGCGGGTAACAATCAGGAGGGATATCTCGGCCTCAGAGGTTCCTACTAAGAAGTGAGGGGTCACAGCACCTCACCTGGACCCTCAGCCCAGGGTTCCAGCATCAGGAAGAGAAGTCTCCATAACTTCTGGCTATAAAAACCAGTGGGAACCTGGTCGATTTGGCTCAGTGGTTAGAGCATCGGCCTGTGACTGGAGAGTCCCAGGTTCGGTTCCCGATGGGGGCATGTGCGGTTTGTCCCTGGCCCCGGTTGGGGTTGTGTGGGTGGCAACTGGTCGGTGTGTCTTTCTCACATCGATGTTTCTCTCTCTTCCCCCCTCCCTCCCTCCCGCTCTATCTGAAGATAAATACAAAAAATGTCCTTGGGCGAGGATTAAAAAAAACCCCAGCCCTGGCCGGTTTGGCTCAGTGGTTAGAGCGTGGGCCCGTGAGACTGGGGTTCTGTTCCGCTAAGGGTGTGTACCTCGGTTGCAGTTTGTCCCCGGCCCTGGTTGGTCGTGCGGGTGCCACGACCAACCTTCTCTTCCTGGGATGAGGGTCCTGGTGAGGAGCTGTGACCCCTCGCTTCTCAGGAGGAACCTCTGCAGTCGAGATATCCCTCCTCATGTGTCCCTTTCACGTCGATGTTTCTCTCTCTCTCTTCCTCTACGCCCCCTCCAATTCCATCTGAACAAAAAATGGAAAAAAATATCCTCGGGTGAGGATTAAAAAAAACAAACAGTGGGGATGGAGGCTGAGATTGAGGGCTGCTGGAGTCCCAGGTGCTCCTCTTTTTTTTTTTATCCTCACCCAAGGACATTTTTCCATTTTTTGTTCAGGTAGAGTGAGGAAGAGAGAGAGAGAGAGAGAGAGAGAGAGAGAGAGAGAAACATCGACGCGAAAGGAACACATCGAGTGGCTGCCACCCGCACGACTGCCCAGAGCCGGGGACAAACTGCAACCGAGGTACGTGCCCCCAGTGGGAACCGAACCCGGGTCCCTCAGGACCGCAGGCCGATGCTCTAACCGCTGGGCCAAACCGGCCAGGGCCCAGGTGCTCCTCTTTGAGGGCCTATGCATGGACTTACTCACCGAGTCACCCGCTCTGAGTTCTAGCACCAATGGAAGGCACCGGGAACATAGGGGGAGGGACTGAAGTATCTGGCATCAGGGCAAGAACTGAAGGAGCAGCCTTCCCTCAGATAGAAGTGCTGGTAGAAGCCATTGTTTCTTTTCTGAGCACTTTCCCCACAAACCCAGATGTGGGAACCTTATCTGAGTCTCCATAAACCTGGGTATCACTGTTGGCCCCACCCACTGGCAGGCCTAAAAAACAGTTTTCCAGTGGATTTTCCATATGAATGGCCTGTCTTGGCTCACGCTTCAGATGTTCCTGAAATCTCTCAAAAAAGTAGCATCTGTCCAGCCGGTGTGGCTCAGTGGTTGAGAGTCGACCCATGCACCACCAAGAGGTCGTTGGCTCGATTCCCGGTCAGGACACATGCCCGGGTTGTGGGCCCAGTCCCCAGTGGGGGGCATGCAGGAGGTGGCCAATCAATGTTCGCTCTCATTGATGTTTCTCTCTCTCTCTCTCTAAAATCAATAAAGTGTCTGGCTTTGGTGTGCTCTGTACCTCTCCCTAAGTGGCTCCAAACCTGGCACTAGTGTAATTTGCAGCTTGGCCTGTTCAAGCCCAGCACAAGTAGTGGCCATCTGCAGATTGCCTTGTAGCTCATGCTGGGTAGCCCCAGGCAGAACACAGGTGGTGGCCGACCTTGGCCTAAATTTCCTGGGAGGCCCCAGAGCCAATGTACCCAGTAGACAGCTTCAGACCATGTTGAAGCACTACCCAACAATCTCCACAAGCAACACTCTCAAGGGGTAGGTTCTGCAGGCACCTGAGCCCTGCTGAATAAAGTCTTGCTCTGTGGGGGCAACCCCTGTGCTGATCTTCCAAGGTGGTTATAGCAGTCCTCTTTGCAGCTGATCAGCCTGGGGGTAAATCCCTCCCACTGAGTGCTAACAGTTATCAAGGTTCAACAAAAGGAGGGTGTACCAAGCCTAGATGGGGGTTTGGGAGGGTGCACCTGGAGTACCCAGATAGGGTGAATGAGGAGGCTGTGCTAATGAACCCTACAGGACACCTACCACATTAGGCCACTCTACCAAACCTGGGAGACATAGTAGCTCTACCTCGGACAGAACGCAGGCAGTGGCTGACCTTGCCCCAGAGCCAGCACACCCAGTGGACAGCTCCAGACCATATCGAAACACCACCACCCAACCACCTCAAGTGATACACTCATGGAGTGAACTAAGTGGGGACCAGAACCTTGCTGAAGTAAGTCTTGCTCTGTGTGGTGGGCCCCTGCACAGTTGATCATATAAGGAAGTCAGAGGTCAGTGGTCACAGCCAGTCGTTGCAGCTGATCAGCTGGAGTAAATCCCTCCCACTGATGTGCCAACAGCAATCAAGACTCAATTACAGCAATCAAGACTCAATTACAACAGAATTAAAGTCCACATGAGGGGTGCACCTCGAGGGCCCGGCTGGGAGATCAGGGAGACTGTACCACTGGATCCTACAAAACACCTACAACAATAGGCCACCCTATGAAGCCTAGGAGACATAGCAACTCCACTTAATACATAGAAACAAATACAGGGAGGCAGCCAAAATGAGGAGACAAAGAATCATGTCCCAGATGAAAGAACAGAACAAAACTCCAGGAAAAGAACTAAATGAAATGGAGATAAGCAATTTAATAGATGCTGAGTTCAAAACACTGCTTATAAGGATGCTCAATGAACTTAGTGAGAACTTCAATGAACTTAATGAGGGCCTCAAGAGCATAAAAAAGGACCAGTCAGAACTGAAGGATGCACAGGCAGAAGGAGGCACTAACTAAAATAAAGAATAATCGGGGGATTCCAAAATGGCGGCAGAGTGAATGGAAGCTACACAGACCGTCTCCCAGGACCAAACTGGAATTACAACTAAAACAGACAAATCGATGGGAAAAAGCAACAGAAAAGCAACTTGCGAGGACCATATAACCAGGGACACTGACTCGATCCTGGTAGGATTGCGAAGGCGCATGATGGGGACTGGGAGCCCACAGTTGGCAGCTTGGCAGCGGCCTTAGCTGT